TAGTCCATATCCATTGAGTGCACAGTTGCCCACGTACAGTTTCACATGGTGTGTGTGTTTGGGATACAGGTCATAGGAAATTGCAGATTAAATAGTCAACTGAAGCCATTAAGAAGAGCAATGTATTCAGACAGAGCTTTTGTGAATTTGATAGTACGATTGCTTTATTGAAAGTACAGTAGTACCATTGCCAATAGTGGGATAGTTAGTGGTCTTAAACTGTACATTAGTAGTTGAGGTAGCACGTTGAAAGGCAGATAGTTAAAGTGTTTATATGTTGTATTGACTTCAAAGTGGGGCGCACTGGTAGTTCACATGGGAAAGGTGCGGCTAGCCCTTGTTGCAGCAGCATACCATACCATGACTTAGTCATACCAAAAATTAGAAAACAACACCAACATTGGTCCACAGGGGGAGCCACAGCGATCGGTCGCATTTTAGCCATTTTGAAGCATTTTTCTGTTGTTATAGCGCCACCCAGTTGCCAATTAGAGTTAAATTTCTCCAGTCACCTTGAGGCGTCCTGTTCTACATATCTACCAAGTTTAGTAAAAATCCATATGGCGGTTAGGCCTAGATAAGAAATGAGCTCTCTAGCGCCCCCATTTTGTTTGATGGGGTCAATAATGGAGGGGTCCCCTCAGATTATGTGTGGTCATATGCCTACAAAGTTGCGTGGTGATGGGTGAAACCCTTGAGATGTTATACACCTTTATGTGATGAGCCACGCCCTCCGCAATATTCATTGCCTTATAGAAGCTCAGTTTTAGTAAGTTTTCCAACTTTTGCCAAGAGGGAACTTTAGATATTGGTCCCTAGATTATGTTCACCCAGTTTCATGCAGATCGCTCAAACTTCCTAGGAAGAGATCCATTTGAAGTGTTTTTCAAAAAATTCAAAATGGCGGAAAATCTATATAAGCGGAAGTTATGGGTTCTTGAGGCAAATGTGTTCCTCATGAGGAGAGGCATCTCTGTGCAAAGTTTCATGTCTCTACGACATACGGGGCATGAGATATGCCCATTCAAAGTTTGACATTTCAATGGGTTGCTATAGCGCCCCCCTTTGGCCAATTGATGTAATATTGCTTCATTGGCATCCTCCCATGACCCTCTACCACTGTGCCAAATATCACATGGATTGACCAAGTCAGTGAGGAGAAAAACATGGAACAGACACACACACAGAGTTTTCGTCATTATATTGTAAGGTATTTATCAAAATAGTCGCCACTTAATATTCTGTCAGCTGGCTCAATGATTAATTGGCTAATCAGAATCAGAATCAGAATCAGAATCAGAAATACTTTATAGATCACCGACAGGAAATTGTGATTCGTTACAGTTGCTTCAATGTAAAGAATAGAACATTATAAGTATCAATAAAAGTATGAAATAGAAGTATGTAAATATAAAGCAATAAATAAAATATAAATGGAAATGTACATTAAAATAAAAAATATAATGTGCATTAATGCACAGTGTTTAACACAAGTACTTATGACATAAAACTATTAAAAATAAAATATAAGATATATATTGTGTAATTGTTTCAGCTGCACCTGTGTAAACTGTGCGATGAACGCTTCTGTCAAACAAAAAACAAAAAACAAATTCATCAAAATCACTTTATTTTATGTCTCATTTAAAAACAATTGGCCAAAACTAAACTGTTACAGAGGCTTTTCTCAACTCCAGGATTTTGTCTTCAACTTTTAACTTTTAAACATTAAATGTTAAGTCTTAAAAATCTGATAATAATTCACGGTGGAGGGAGGGTCGTGCATCTTCCACCAGTCACTCAGGGACGCTCAAGGGAAAAATATCTGTAGCTTCAGGGGGGGTCAAAAGGTCACACTCCTCCTCTGATAGTAAAGAACAGTCCCTTAGTTCCTCCTGCATGGTTCCTGTTTGGTGCTACAAACTGTAATGCAACTTGCTGATAACCAACATTGTGTTTGGGGCCACATGTCTCATATTTTTAAAGACATGCCACAGGGCCCCAGACTGTGGATACACTGCTGTAGAGGAGGGACAGTACTGTCTCAGAGCAGCAGGGGTCACACTCTCACTGATACTCTCTGAGGCTGACAGTCATGGTATGTGGGGTCAAATAGAGAAGAAGTATCTGTGTGATGCTTCTGTGTGAGACGAGTGTGAGAACAAACCTGTTGAACAACAGCAGCCACGCAGAGTCTCCACCTCAGTGTTTAAATCACAGAGGAACATCTGTCCTGAGTGGATCTAAACTGTTTGAGGTGTCAGAAACAGGTCAGACCAACGCTGACAGTTTCTCCCTGGACTGGTTTACACACACACACACACACACACACACACACACACACACACACACCCTACACCACCCTCTGAGAGGACAAAGACATGTACACTGTCCTTGTGCACCAACTGATGCTCACTGAGCTGTGAGCGTCATTAACCCTTTCACACACAGTCATCACCACAGAGCAGAGCTATTTAAAGGTCACTACAGTGGACCTGAATGCATCATGCCACACACTGCCACCCTCTGGCCAGCTGTTGTATGTGCAACACAGATCTCTCAGAACCAAGATGGACGACAGGCTGACATAAATGTGCAGCCCAGGAACATCTTGACATTCCTTCTATAAGAGGAGACTCTGCGGGTTAATAACATGTTGTAACACCAAGTAACATCTAAGGAGAAATTTGTTTTGATTTTATGTTGGGAGGAAATTATAATTAATTATATGTCCACTACACTGGATCATCATGCTTTGCTTTTGGGTTTAAATCAAAAATATTTTTATTTTTGCAGAAAATGAACAGAATATACAGTTAAACACGGGGAGGTGTGTGTGTGAGGATGAGGAGTCAAGAGGAAGTTTCACTGCTTTTTGCATTTCATCGAACAGTATTAGAACATGTTAAAATATGTAAAGACACCAGATGAACAGCATTAAAAATATAGTTTTTCACAGTATCATTTTATTGATGGGTTTATATGTTTTTCATTTGAAAACGTATATGCATGTGGGGCTACCTGTGGCTTAGTGGGTGGAGCAGGTTGTATGTCATCACCTCTCTTTGCCCCCCTTCACACTTTAACTGCCCCATCTAATAAAGGCAAAAAGCCCACAATATATATGTATAAATAAATAAATGAATAAAAATGTGAATGCATGCTGTGCACCCAAGTGAACATGTGAAAAACTACACAAAAAATAACTTTAAAAAACTTTTTTCATGCCTAAAGAAGAATAAAAGCATGTATATTATTTTTCTAATAATAATAATAATT